GGGGTCTGGACCACGCAGCCTCCGCCAGTGTATGCGCCAGTGACGGACCAGCTGTGGCGGGTAGCTCCAGCGCAGCGTGGCGTTCAGAAGGACCTTCAGAGAACTTCCATCTCCGTCTCCAGCTCCTCTCTGCCAAACCACGTCATACACACAGACGCTCCGCACGGGGAGAGGAGGCGCAGACAAACTCTCCGCATCCAGCACCTGCACAAACACACAGAACAGGAATTTACCAACAAATATCCATCAGTGTTTGGTGGAAATTCCACCAAATGTTCAAACTTTACACATACTTAAAGGGTTGAAATGTAAACAAAGTTATTCAGAGTGGAAATAATAGTGGTGATAGGAACCAGACGTCTGAAGAGTTAAAAGGGAAATTCCACTGATAATTTAAAAAATTCCCCCATAATTCAGTGTGTGAGGTGTAAACAGAGTGATTCAGAGTGGTTTGGTGTGAAATGGTTCAGATGTCTTTACAGTGGTGGTGATAGGAACCAGGGGTCGCCATGACTACAACACAAATATAGACATTTTATTTACTATCCAGAACCACCAGTGAACCTACACGAGTCTTCTGAGTTTATATGGAATGATGATGATGGTATAATTGAGACAAAGCTTTTAGAGGTGGACGTCTGGTTCCTATCACCACCACTGTGAACAATTCTGACTCTAGAACAGAGCATTTCACGCCAAACCGCTCTGAGTTACTTTGTTTGCATTTTACCATTTAATTATGCGTAAATTGTGGAAAATTGGTGGCATTTCCTTTTAAAAAGAATAATCCACTGTTTTTAACCTCTATCTGCTCAATCTGTAGCCATTTTGTACAGTAATTACAATGTTTGTCTTTTCACACTGAATCAGACAACAACAGAAGTCAATGGGGAGCTTCTGAAGCTACCGTACGCCACATCAGACAGAGATGAAGAAATTTAAAGTAATCTGGTAATTATTACAGTTCACATGACAAAAATGTAATCTGATTAATTCTGGACTACTTCATTTGGTTTCACACTTGTAAATTTAAACCTTATGAAGATACAGATTAATATCCTCATCTTCTTTTTCCCAAAATCACACATGATTATTCATATCAATCATAATGACAGAGTTGTTACACAGTTTATGGGAACACTCAGGCCCTGATTACAACTGGTCACTTTAGGCATCTTAAGTATCAGGATTCTATTTGATGAGGCCACATAAAAATGCGAATGTAAACGCAGCCAAGACGCATTTAAACATACAGATCTGATCACTGAAACTTCAGGAGGTGGACTGAGACGCATTTGAGGCACATTATAGCAGCGTAAACACATCAGTCTCTCCAAGACACACTCAACAACCGAAACTCCTCCCAGTACAATCAAAACCCCTCCCAGTACAACCAGAACTCCTCCCAGTACAACCAGAACTCCTCCCAGTACAGCCGAAACTCCTCCCTGTACAACCGAAACTCCTCCCAGTACAACCAAAACTCCTCCCAGTACAATCAAAACCCCTCCCAGTACAACCGAAAACTCCTCCCAGTACAACCGAAACTCCTCCCTGTACAACCGAATCTCCTCCCAGTACAACAAAACTCCTCCCAGTACAACCGAAACTCCTCCCAGTACAACCGAAACTCCTTCCAGTACAACCGAAACTCCTCCCAGTACAACCGAAACTCCTCCCTGTACAACCAAATCTCCTCTCAGTACAACCAAAACTGCTCCCAGTACAACAGAAACTCCACCCAGTACAACCGAAACCCCTCCCAGTACAACCAAAATTCTTAACCGTAATTCATTAATCATTAATGATAAATGGTCAGTGCAGCTGTTCTGTACCATGATCTCTCCGATCCTGCAGTTAAAGTCCAGATCCTGTTCTGCTCCGTCTCGATCCACGTTAACCAACACCTCGCTGAGCGCACAGCCGTTCAGATCCAGCTGGAAACATCTGCACACGCAAAACAGTGAACAATTCAGAACAGAATTACACTGTACTGTACAAACATACGTCTGAATATTAATACTCAGACACCAAAAGCTATATTGTGTTTTATTCATCTAAATTTACGAGCTTCATTCATCTTTTTTTCTAGGGAAAAAGTTATTAAACAATAATTAATAAACATCTACTTTTAATAAGAATTACTTTAAAATGACAAGATAATCTGGATGTTAATATTATTAGAACTTCATTCTGAATATTAATTTTATTACAACTTCATTCCAGACATTAATTTTATTAGAATTCTATTGTAAATATGTCCATTTTATTAGAACTTCATTCCAGACGTTAATTTGATTAGAATTTAATTCTGAATATTAATTTTATTAGAATTTCATTCTGGATGTTAATTTTATTAGAACTTCATTGTGAATATTAATTTTTAATAACTTCATTATGAATATGATTTTTTTATAACTTCTTTCTGGATTTTACATTTAGTAGTTGGTTTTATCACCACAGAGTAAGTCTCTACATTTTGTACTGGAATCTTCTGAGCAGTACAGTGTATTTATTATGAAGGTGCTTCAGCTGAGAACGTTTAAAATCCCTCCCTGTACAGGTTATTTACTCTGCTGGATTTAATGTGTCATTTTCTTTAAGCCATTTAATGGATTTAAATCAACCCAACATCTCCACACAAACTGTCCACAAAGTGTCTCACCTGGTGGTCCAGCCATCTGCCGTCCAGTGACCGCAGCTCTGAGTGAACTGCTTCACCAACTGATGATCCTCCTTTAACATCACTGGAGACACACGACTGGCTGATAAACACAAACACAAACAGAGTCACTACTGGAGGCAGAAGGACTCGTTTACTTAAAGCAGTTTAAATACTGTAAAAAGTGTGATATAAAACATGAAAATGTGTCTTCTGAGTTTATATGGAATGTTGATGATGGAAAATAGAGGAAAATCTGAAATAATAAGTTTTCTTTGGGGACTATTTTGCCTCACAGCGCCCTGCATGTATCCCTCCACCATGAATGGAGTTTAAGTTCTCTAAACATCATAAAACAGAGTCTCAGACATCAGGCAGTGAATTCAGAACCATTTCATGTAGGAACTTTCTGTGAGGGAGCTTTTAGAGGTGGACGTCTGGTTCCTATCACCACCACTGTGAACAGTTCTGACTCGGTAAGTTTCTCTAGAACAGAGCGTTTCACACCAAACCACTCTGAACCACTCTGAACCTCTCTGTTTACATCTTAACCACTTAATTAGGCAGAAATTGTAAAAATTGGTGGAACTTCCCTTTAAAAACACTCTGAAGTAGTGAGGCGATGGGCAGCATATGTGCAGATATTTTATCCACAGGGACTTTTAATGCACTCACATATTATTTCCTCTGTTCCTGAGTACGTACACAGACCAGCGTCTGTGGTTTTCAGCTCCAGAGACACGTTCACCCCCAACGACGGCTTATAGACGAAGGAGATAAACGTCCTCGTGGCCAAAGGAACGTGGAGAGAAAATATCCTACAGGAGGAACCAAGAAGGCAGAACTTTACTGATATTTAAAGGAACAAAAACTAGTTCACTCCAGATGTAGCTGATCAGCCGAGACTCGTTTGGTGTCTGAAGTTTGCTTCTTTAGTTTTAGCGCTGGAGCTACGAGGCTAATGTAGCTAAAAATAGGGCTGTACGATACGGACATAAATGCGATGTTGAATAAAGCGCTCAGATATCACGATGTTAGTATGAGAAGTGATAAATTCTTATTAAATTAGTGAACCTCTAACTGGATGTAACACAACTACAGACTTTTCTTTGGATGTGTGAACAGAAGTCTAACTATCCTCTCCATTATAAAAGCCATTCACTACTGTGCAAAATAAAAAGAAATGAAATACCAACAGCTGCTCACATCAGAACTGACAGCACCTTTGTAGTGCACTGAAAGAGAAACAGACCACAACTCAACAGCTTTTCTACAAAGGCTAAACAATGAAGTATATAATTGTTTTTTTATTGGTAATTAATAATAATTGTTTTTTTGTTTGTTTTTTTTTGTTGTTATGAGAGTATCCACTTCATGCCCATAGACCAGCAATCAAGCAATGAAATTTAAAAGAAATATTAAATCAAATTAACCTCTTATTGACCAGGGTATATTTTGGTTTTTCTATCTGAATTTACATGACCAAATCATAAGGCAAATTATTCAGTAACTGCATGAAATAAATGTAATTTTTTTTTATTTGGTAAAAGCTCCCCTCAAATTAACAGAACATGTGTTTTATGATCTACACATATTGCTATATGCTTATAATTTACTGCTGAAAGCCAAAAATCTTAGACGCTCTTTGTATTATTTTATAAAAATAATGTTTACAGAGCAGATCACTGAAGAGACGCCATCTGTTTATAGTTTACAGCCCAGATTTGTGGAAAAATGGGTCGACTTTCAGTAGAAAAAAAAACTGAGTTCAGCTTCTTTTATTATAATGGTTTAAAATTACATCACCATCTATTTGACTGGAGAGAAGACAGTTACAGCTCTCATACGACCCCCACCTTTAGAATGTAGCTTATGAAATATGAAAGTTATGACGAATATGACGAAAGTGCGTTTTGGAACCACCGGTGGTCCCAAGGAGTTGAAGAGGTTAAAATACTCTGGCCCTTTAAGGCCTTGACAAAAGCAATAGCATTTGACCAGTTCTGAATTGTGGCAGCCTTCACCTTGGGTATATACTTATTTTTGTACAAACGCACACAAGAACAAATACATATTTTTGTCCAATCAGTTATTTATTTTGTTTATTTCTTAAATATGTTTGTTGTGACAGCAGCCATCACTGCCTCACACACATAAAACACTAGATGTGAGAACAGTGTGTTTCAGCTGCTGTGTGTATTTTGGAATCGGCTGTTTAGCCTAATGGTTAAGTCACTCATCCCCACTCAGGAGAACAGAGTTTAATCCCAGTGCAGAGAAGCTCTCATTAGGCTCCTAATGGTTTGTGCTGCAATGTAACAACATCTCTCTGGCGCTGGGTGTTTCAGGTCATTTTAATCTAGATTTGCTACATTAGCCTCGTAGCTCCAACTCCGGCCTGACTGAGGGTTGGGGGAAGATTGTTACATTTTTTGGTCACAATATTCCTTTAAAACATGTTAAACAGTGATGTGGTGCTCACCTTGCAATAATTCTGGGTAGTGATTTTGGTAATTTTCCCTCCAGCAGCAGCGAGCTGCCCCCGGCCCAGGCGTCCTCGGGGCAGCCGCGGGTTCTCCACCAGCCCCCATCCTCCAAACTCTGCTTAGAGTACAGAGGCTGGAGCTCCTGAGCGTTCAGATTGAACCAGCTTCGCTCCTGCACCACCTGCAGACACACAGCACGGTGGTCTCACGCCGCTGGCCTTAAAGAGCCCACATTCTGCTTTTTCTTGTATTTGTTTTTTCCTGAGCTCCACTTAATGTTGGTTTTATATCCCAATGGATCCAATGGAAGCTGTAGTGATCCATTCACTTCCTGACAGCCAGGAACAGCACAACGTTTAACTGTTTTCCCACAACTTCCACTCCAATAACTCTGATACAGACTGTCTGCAGGAACAGCACTCCACATCACTTCAATGGGAATGGGTGGGGCTAAACTGCTGTAGGCTGAATGGGTGGGGCCAAAGTGCTGTAGGCTGAATGGGTGGGGCTACACTGCTGTATGCTGAAAGGGCAGGGTCTAAACTGCCGTAGGCTGGGTGGGTGGGGCTAAACTGCTGTAGGCTGAAAGGGCAGCGGCTAAACTGCTGTAGGCTGGGTGGGTGGGGCTAAACCGCCATAAGCTGGGTGGGTGGGGCTAAACCGCTGCAGGCTAAATGGGTGGGGCTAAACTGCTGTAGGCTGAATGGGTGGGGCTAAACTGCTGTTGGCTGAATGGGTGGGGCTAAACTGCTGTAGGCTGAAAGGGCAGGGGCTAAACTGCTGTAGGCTGGGTGGGTGGGGCTAAACCGCCATAAGCTGGGTGGGTGGGGCTAAACCGCTGCAGGCTAAAGGGGGGGCTAAACGCTGGGCTAGGGTGGGGCTAAACTGCTGTTGGCTGAATGGGTGGGGCTAAACTGCTGTTGGCTGAATGGGTGGGGCTAAACTGCTGTAGGCTGAATGGGTGGGGCTAAACTGCTGTAGGCTGAATGGGCGGAGCTAAACTGCTGTAGGCTGAATGGGTGGGGCTACACTGCTGTTGGCTGAATGGGCGGGGCTACAGAACCCAGCTGCTGGAGACATTAAGGGTGAAGCAGGACCCACCTGCCCTTTCCAGTAGACGCTCTTGCCGAAGCCCTGACAGAAAGAAGACACGAAGGGCAGAGTGGACACAGGACGGTGGATGTAGAGGTGATCCGCCAACAGAAACCAGAACCTGAACAGACAGAGAGAGCTTTACGGGCTGGTTCTGACTGAGGACTGTGACTGTACACACTAAAAAAACATGGTCTAAAGTTCTTTAGTAAAGAAAACGGTTCTATATAGAACCATTACTTGTGTATTCATTTTCATCTGTTGATTAGGAAGCGAATCTGAGCTCTGGGCTGTCGAGAGAGGAGAAATGAAACAGCCACGCAGATCACGAGAGCAGCGCGCTGCCGGAGAAGAACCAACGCTGCACAAGCTGCCGTTTAAACAGCTGTCAGCCTTAGCTGGCCAGTTAAACCAGCTACATGAAACTACATTTCTTCTGAGTTGTGCAACGTAAAGCAGCCTGCAACTCACTTGAAACTCAGCCGCAACAGTGGCGACCGTCTCAAATTCGTGAGACATTTCATGAAACAGCCAATCGAAACACTGTAGACCAACGTCATTTAAAGGGTCCTGTCATTCAAAAACAGCTCATTTAGAGTTCAGTGAACACTCTTAAAAAAAGACGGTTCTTCAAGCGTTCTTTAGAAATATATAGAACCATGAACACCCAAAGAACCCTGTGCGTGATTAGAGGGTTTTTACATCATGAAGTGTTCTTCAAATTGATGGAAAATGTGCTGTAGATGGTTCTACATAGAACCAAAAAGGGTTCTTCTATTGTTATAGGTTTGATATTGTCACAATAGAAGAACCCTTTTTGGTGCTATATAGAACCCTGTTCAAAGGGTTTCTATGTAGAACCATTTTCTTTACTAAGAAACTCTTAAAGAACCATCATTGTTCACTAATAACCTCACCAGGCTGAGTGCATGTACAGTAATAAACCTACGCTGCCCATTAAAACCTCAGTTAAACTCAATTGTTCAAACTATTTTTAACCCAAATCTTAAACTAAATCTATAATATACCATTAATTGAATAAAACTTTTATTTATTAAACATGTTCTGAAAGGCTACATTGCTGATCAAAGGTTTGTGATCAGATTAGTAAATGTTATTCAAAAATAACTTCAACAGTGTAGACTGAAATGTGATTAACCAGAGACTGAAAAATAAAAAACAACTGTCTATTCACAATTCATAGCACTTTGGGAACAACAACAAATTGACAAATTTTATTCTGGATATTTTTGTATTCTGTTAATTCTTTATGCCATACAGCTTTCTCAATTATTACAGAATCATGTACTGCACCATTCATCACCAAATATGTTGTTGTTTATAGTTGGAAACCTATTATTAGGTGAGGTATTAACCTATTACCATCATATTAGTCTCATTTTATGCATGCGCTTGCAGCAAAATTGGTTTTCTATGTTTGAAAACAGTGATTTCAACTGTTGAGCAGTACCGCAGGTGTCCCCAAACTTCTGAACATTGATGGGTGGTTCTGTGGACTCACTTGTCCTGGTTTTGGCGGAAGTCGGCCTTGTCGTGGCACTCGTACACCCAGCCGGGAGCGAAGATCGCCGTGGAGAAGCCGTGTTTACGCACCAGCTGAAGTGCCTGAGAGAGCAGGAGCACAAAATCACGGCCTCTTAGTGCTCGAGACACACGGACGGTCAGTCACAGTAACAGTGCTTCTCACACACAGGCTGTATTTGGGCAACCAACTACACAGTAATATATGCAAAAGTTTGCACACCTCTGGTCAAATTCCATGTTGTTGTTGATTTTCTGACTGTAAATAAGTGAATACGTTCCCCACAAAGACACACCTCTGCACATTTTAATACACAGTTACCGTTTATTTGCTGAACTTGATATATTAAAACATATAAAGCATTACATCTGGCCTGTGCAGAGTTACGGCACAGTTATGTTGTTTTATTTTTTGTTTGATGTTAAAATAAATAAAAAAATTCCACTAAAATTTACTGAAAACTTCCACATTTAAGTGTATTCAGTTTTAAGGATGTGTTAACCAACAAAATGCAATTTGTCAAGGGGCTTCCAAAGTTTTGCATACAAATGACTGTCCCATTTGAACATTTTCTAATTACCATTTTGTTCTATTGTTGATAAATTCCTGAATATTTTATTTTGTTAGGTAGAAAGAAAGGCAGATTTTACCTTATATATATATATATATACATATATATATATATATATATATATATATATATATATATATATATATATATATATATATATACACACAAACACACATACATTTATTTATTTACTTATTTATCCCCCCTTTTTAAAACATGCCTGTCGCCCTTTACATTACGTGAAAATTTCATGATGAATGGACCAAAAGAAACGGCCCAAAATTACTGGGAAAAAATACATTATATTACTTTTAATATGGGTACATATATATATATGAAGAGAGAGAGATTAATTTCAGACCTGTGAGAAACACTGATTACTATGAACATCAGCCTGAGTAACTAAAAAGATTTAAATTCCATTTCTACTCCAGGACCCATATTAGAGAAACACCTCAACTCTGAACTCAACTTCAGTACTGAATTCAGGACAGTATCTATTCCAGAACAACAGTTCCTACCTTCATAATCTCATCATGAACTCCAGATAAGAAAACAGCATCACACAAACATCCTAACTAGACTAAACCTCCTAAATCCTGTCCTAACTTTAGGATGAACCCCAACAGGGTCCTCACTTCTGTTTAAGGTCTGTTTCTCTGGTTTTTAGGCAGCTGAGTCAGCAGCATAGTTCACTACCAGCATAATGAGCTCCATTTATTTCTACTGTAAAACGCTGCTTTCACTGTGAGATGATTTTCTTTTCTAACTCTGCGTTTTAAAGATCTCAGACGCTGCAGACTCGATCTCCACCGCCCCTCTGATCACCTTCGTGTGTTAATGTTGATGATGAAATATTACAGTGATGGTGGTGAATAATGAGGAGACGGAGCTGAACGTGTGTCTGTTTATTAGGAGGAGTAGCGTTAGCGCGCTCGGCTAAAGTGTTTGGGAAATGGAGACTGAAACTGGGGAGCGGCGACGCTCTGATAAACAGCAGGGGGCGCTCTCACAGTATTCACAACTTACAGTCTATCACTCTTTAGTTTAGTTTGACCTTTTTTACACCAGTAACAGCAGCTGTCTGACTAAGTTGATTAATCTGATGACGTGTTTAAGATAAGATGCTGTAAGATAAGACTCCTAAATTAACATCAGATTTGCTTATGTAATGTATATTTGTGATAAATCTAATCTTGACCTGTCAGATCTTAAGATAAAATGATAAGAGGTTTCTGTACTACGGCCCCTGAACCACTCCAGGAATAAAGGTTCTCTGACCTTGTTGGTCTCGAACATCCCTCCCACCACCTCTCCTCTCGCGAACACGTCAATCCCAATGTAAATATCAGCCAGACGACCCTGAGCTGCGGAGTAGGAGGCCATTCCCTCCAGGCTGCTCTCCGTCCAGTTATAGTTGGTGAATATGCCGTCACAGGCGTCGAAAAACACTCTGATGGAGAGAGAAAACATTATGACACACTGCATAGATAAGAGAGCATCACCCTGAAGAGCGAATGCTGTCTGTACTTTAGTCCATGTTTATAGATAACAATACGATACAGTCAAACACAATGAATAGGAATACATTTTACACTTCGTGGCCTTTTATTGTTGCTCTGATGAGAAAAAAGCGTTTCAGTACCACAATACTGAAGGACATTTTTATGATAAACAATAAGTATCACAATATTTAGTTGATGATGTTTAAAATATTGGAACAGAGGAAAAAACAGAAACGCAGCATTTGAAAAATACCATCAAAAACTATAAATACAGTGATCTCTATTCAGCATTTCACACCCTGCACTGCACTAAATCCAGTTAAAACAGGACTAATTATGCCCTCTTACTAAACTTAACATGCAGTTTTATTACTAAGAGATTACAATCATGCTTTTTCTGTTCTTACATATTATATCATACATAAGAATGAGTTTTTTATTTTCTGAATAATCCAGTGTTTGAGGTGTAAACAGAGAGATTCAGAGTGGTTTGGTGTGAAATGGTCCAGATGTCTTTACAGTGGTGCTGATAGGAACCAGGGGTCGCCATGACTACAACACAAATATAGACATTTTATTTACTATCCAGAACCACTAGTGAACCTACACGAGTCTTCTGAGTTTATATGGAATGTTGATGATGGAAAATAGTGGAAAATCTGAAATAGTAAGTTTTCTTTGGGGACTATTTTGCCTCACAGCGCCCTGCATGTATCCCTCCACCATGAATGGAGTTTAAGTTCTCAAAACTATCATAAAACAGTGTCTCAGTCATCAGGCAGTGAATTCATAACCATTTCATGTAGTAACTTTCTGTGAGGGAGCTTTTAGAGGTGGACGTCTGGTTCCTATCACCACCACTGTGAACAGTTCTGACTCGGTAAGTTTCTCTAGAACAGAGCGTTTCACACCAAACCACTCTGAACCTCATCTTATCACTTGATTATGCAGACAATGTGAAGCCCAAATGTTCAGAGACAGCCTCTCAGTGTCTCTCAGGTGTGTGTACTCTCACCTGTTGCTGTTGTTGACCTCGTTCTGCCATTTGAGCGTCCCGTTCTCCAGCACGCTGTCGTACCAGATCACCAGACTGCCGGGCACTCGCTCGTGCAGCTGATCGGTCAGATATCGGAGGAACGGAGCCATGTTCTTCACCGCGGTGGCCTGCACAACCAGGAGTGGACAGTCAGCGTGGGCGGAGATGTGTGTGGCTGCACGATATGTTTATCATTATCATATTAACCTTTGCAAAACTGGTACTGCAGAAAGCTGCAACTTACAAATGAACTATTCACAGCATTTGCAGTGCTGATCAAACAGATCTCCAGAACACTAAAAGATACACGTCTGTAATCTTTTATTCATTTTATACAAAATAAGCTTCATGCTTGCTGTATAAACTCTGTTAGTATTGCAGTAATACATTTATTTCATCGTTTAGTTTTGGTTGGAAACAAAAAGGTTAATTTCTTGAAAACACTCAACAGAAAACTGTCCAATCAGGATTGTTCTCTCTGTGGTAATTAAGTAGATACAGCAGGTAGATACAGCTGAGCTGCTCTACCATTGGTTAGGTCACATTAACTACCAACACGATTACGAACTGACAGAGGAATCAACCAATCACGCTTTGTTTTATAAAAGGACCAATTTCATGACTAAACACATCACTAGTGCTTCTGACAGTTCTAGATACATCACTGACTGTAAATGTGCTGTAGTCTAAGCAGTGTTCCGGTTAGTTGTTAGGAATGTTAAACAGTGGCAGCAGCTCTGTGCAGGACTCTTTACTGAGACAGTCACAGTAACACTGATAGACACAACCTCAGATACATGATAATGACTGATACAAGCTTCAGATAAAACACATTGAATGACTTCTACAATTTTCAACTATAAAGGACCGTTTTTACTCTAGAATGACTAAAAATGTTCACGTGAACTGTTATCAGCTTAGTGCTGTTATAACTTTAGAAATTTCATTGAGTCTCTACGAGAAATTAGCATTATCATAAAGGTGGTTTTTTTCCTTGATACCAATATTTGACATCTGTGCCCCAAATTAATTATGGGAGGCAAATCCAGCCAAAAAAGATATTAAAATTAAAACAATAAAATGTAAATGCAAACCTCTTTTTGCCATTTCTTTTTCCAACATCTGCGCAAATATCCTGCCAAAATTGAAAATGAAATGCCTACATTTGCAATTTGATTTTTCACATGAGCACGAGTCAGTTGTGACAAAAATAAAAATAAATGTAAAACAGCTGTTTGTCATTTCATTTTAGTCGTTATTCTGGTTTTTCATGGCCAAGTCTAAAATGAAAAAGCTAAAAGAGAAAAGAAAATCCAAGCTTCTCTTTGGCTTTGGCTTAACGACTTCAGACCAAACACCGTCAGACCAAACGGCCTCAGACAAAAGGTATCAGACCAAGCGCAGGCCTGGTCGAGCACAGACTGGTTCACATAACTTAGAAAACTATTATGTATCTCGATATAAATGCCAGTATAACATTTCCAGTTTTTTCTGACGGTGTTTGGTCTGACGTTCAGTTTCACCAGATCTGAGTCATGATGATGGTTTTCCTGGAGACTCGAAGTCGTTTAGCTTGAGGAATGATGCCATTCTGACTCGGAGGTCTAAGGATGTCCTAAAATGTACCCCGTAGCCCCGCCTAGTGCTAATTAACATATATTTGCATGTTGGTCAGTTTGAAAACAAAATCGAAAAGTGGAAAATGTAAAGTAAATGTCCAGCAGGTGGCGCTGATGTTCGTTTGCATTTGCCTTTTCATTTTGACACCTAAAGCGCATCGACGCCGAAAACTGAATCACAAACCGTCACTTTGCTGCTGATTTATCAGTTTTGCATTTTCATTTTGTCAGATCTGCAGCCGACTGCTGTGAAAAAGAAATAAGAACATAAACACTGCATTCTGATTTTAGTTTTGACCCGTATTCTGCACTTCATGAAGAAAAGCCAAAGCCAAAGTGAAGCTTGGATTTTCTTTTCTCTTTTAGCTTTTTCATTTTAGACTTGGCCATGAAAAACCAGAATAACGACTAAAATGAAATGACAAACAGCTGTTTTACATTTATTTTTATTTTTGTCACAACTGACTCGCGCTCATGTGAAAAATGAAATTGCAAATGTAGGCATTTCATTTCATTTTCAATTTTGGCAGGATATTTGCGCAGATGTTTGGAAAAAGAAATGACAAAAAGAGGTTTGCATTTACATTTTATTGTTTTAATTTTAATATCTTTTTTGGCTGGATTTGCCTCCCATAATTAAAGGCCCAGCTCTCACAGTCAAAGAGGCCAACAGCACAATTTGGTGATTTTCCTGTGCGAGCACACCAGACTCAGCTCATTACTTAATCTATGAACCTGCTCATAGAATCAGTCACTCTGTCTGTGGGGATTCACGGAAATGAGTTTTACTGCAACCTGCAGGTTTCTGGTTTCAACTTCACTCACACTCAGTACGTTCTCGATGTTGATGAGCCAGCCGTCGAAGCCATAGCAGTGAGTGATCTGCACCAGTTTATCTGCAGCGGAGCGATACGCCTCCTCCTCCGCCAAGAACACCTCACACATCTTCCCCCCATCCGTCCACTCTGTGATGAACGTGCCTGAGGAAGACAGAGAAAACACACCAAACCCACACAGGTATCTTCAGCTGCATCACCATGAGCTTTTTTAGAAAGCTGAATATACTGAAGCTTTAAAAAGCACCTGTTCATCCTACAGCAGTTTAGCCCCATTAACATTACAGAGCATTATGGAGTCTTTTTAAATGAAACAGTAGAAGCCATATCGCCCCCTACACTTCCTGTAGTGTATTACAGTCTGTCAGAGTGACTGTGTGGATCATATGAACATTACAGAGGCTTTTTAAACGAAACAGTAGAAGCCATATCGCCCCCTACACTTCCTGTAGTGTATTACAGTCTGTCAGAATGACTGTGTGGATCATATGAACATTACAGAGGCTTTTTAAACGAAACAGTAGAAGCCATATCGCCCCCTACACTTCCTGTAGTGTATTACAGTCTGTCAGAGTGACTGTGTGGATCATATGAACATTATAGATCTTTTTAAATGAAACAGTAGAAGCCATATCGCCCCCTACACTTCCTGTAGTGTATTACAGTCTGTCAGAGTGACTGTGTGGATCATATGAACATTATAGAGGCTTTTTAAATGAAACAGTAGAAGCCATATCGCCCCCTACACTTCCTGTAGTGTATTACAGTCTGTCAGAGTGACTGTGTGGATCATATGAACATTATAGAGGCTTTTTAAATTAAAAACACGTGGAGTAAACAACTTTGCTGGCGAACTATTGCAGCTCAGGTAAGAATGCAGGTTTACACAATCTCAAACTGAACTCTTACCTAATGAGAGAACACCGTGTTTATGAGCTGCGTTAGTCCACACTGCAGGAGGGATGGTGACCATGTGGTGGCTGAAGTAGTTAAAGATGTCGATATATTGCCAGTGATAAAAGACATACGGAGCCCCCACCTCAGTGCCCTGAATAAACCTCAGAAGAAAACACAATGACATGAATATACAGCCAATAACAGTGAAGGAAAGGTCTGCAAAGCCCTTCTTAAACTATGAGATAATGTGAACTCCGTAACTCTCTGCCTAATACATTTGTAACACAATGAATAGTTCCCGTTCTAAAATCACACCTTAACTGAATTATGACTTTTTTAATGAGATTTTCATGCTTGCAAATAGCCTGGAGATTATATTCTTACCATAACAGCATAATTTATTCAACATTATTGCAATAATCAATTAGACCACAGTGAAATCACTGCATTTAAAGGGATTTTTACACCTTTACTTATTGTGTCTGAGTATGTGCACAATATTTAGTAGAATTTGTCACTGCTGCATCCAGATTTCCACTCAAGAATCAACAAAGTACATCAATCCATCCATCTATCTAGCCAAAAGTATGTGGACACCTGACCATCACACCTATACGAGCTATGGGCATCCCATTCCAAACCCTGAAAAACAGCCCCAGCCCATCATCCCTCCTCCACCAAACTGTACTGTTGGCTCTGCATTCCGGCAGGTAACGTTCTCCTGGCATCCACTAAACCCAGATTCATCATCAGACTGACAGATAGAGAAGCTGATTCATCACTCCAGAGAACACGGTTCCACTGATCCAGAGTCCATTGGCGGCGCTTTACACCACTCCAGCCAACACTTGGCATTGCGCATAGTGATCTTAGGCTTGTGTGAAGCTGCTCAGACATGGAAACCCACTTCATGAAGGTCCCGACACACAGTTTTTGTACTGAAGTTGCTTCCAGAGGCAGTTTGGAGCTCTGTAGAGAGCGATGCAGTAGAGGATAAGCCCTGCTCTACCACTTTATACACTCTTAAAAAGACGGTTCTTTGATAAAGACAATTGTTTTATATAGAACTACGAACACTCAAAGAACCATTTACTTGCTTAAATGGTTCTTTGCGTGGTGAAAACGTTCTTGTTGTATATGGTTCTATACAGAACCTTTTTAACAAGGGTTATGTTGCACAAAATGTTGCACCAAAAACTTCTTCTAATGTTACAAGCAGAACCCTTTTTAGTTCCATTTAAGCATTCAGATGGTTATTTGAGTGTTCATGGCTGAGCTGTTGTTGTTCCTGGACTACTCTATTTCTTACGATAGCACTGACAGTTGGCTGGGGCAGATCTAGCAGGGCAGCAATTTCACAAACTGACATGTGGCAACGGTGGCATCCTACAACGGTGGCACTCTTTAAGTCACTGAGCTCTTCAATACATTCTACTGTCAATGAGCGTTGTCAATGAATCACCTGAACTCAATAATTATGAGGGGTGTCCACAAACTTTTGGCCATATAGTTTATCTGTGTATGACCTGACTCTACCTGTCCTCCAGGTATCCTCCCATCATGTCATGGCAGACCAGTGTCCTCCTCAGGGCGTCGGTCAGTGGCGGCTGTCTGCTGGCCAGAGGCACTGTGGCTATGTTAAAAGGGCTCGCCTCGCTTCGTTTCCACGACAACAGTTCATCCAGACTCTTCAGACTGGAGCTGATGGGCTCCGTGGTGTCGGGGTCGTAGTGCTGCGCTGTCAGACAGACAGAACAATCAGGACTTTGGACAGAAAAGCATGTTTAATCTGATGTCGTTCACTCAGTTCCTTATAGTTTTTTATGGTACTTCTCAGAGATCCGGTACCTGGCAGTGCAGGTGGGTCATAGGTTATGACTTCATGAACGCTCACATCTGCAGAATCATCTAAGCAAGACTCGAAACTGTGAAGAAAAAGACAACCTTAAAAGGGGAATTGCACTGTTTTTTTTACAAATTTCTGCATAATTACAGTTCAGACGTAAACAGAGTCGCTCAGAGTGGTTTGGTGTGAAACACTCCGTTCTAAAGAAACTTATCGAGTCAGAACTGTTCACAGTGGTGGTGATAGGAACCAGACGTCCACCTCTAAAAGCTCCCTCACAGAAAGTTCCTACATGAAATGGTTATGAATTCACTGCCTGATGACTGAGACACTGTTTTATGATAGTTTAGAGAACTTAAACTCCATTCATGGTGGAGGGATACATGCAGGGCGCTGTGAGGCAAAATAGTCCCCAAAGAAAACTTACTATTTCAGATTTTCCACTATTTTCCATCATCAACATTCCATATAAACTCAGAAGACTCGTGTAGGTTCACTGGTGGTTCTGGATAGTAAATAAAATGTCTATATTTGTGTTGTAGTCATGGCGACCCCTGGTTCCTATCACCACCACTGTAAAGACACCTGAACCATTTCTCACCAAACCACTCTGAATCTCTCTGATTACACCTCAAACACTGAATTATACAGAAATTTGGAAAATTCAGTGGACTTCCCCTGCATTTGTTTATTCCTTTTAATGTGCCAGCACAACTCGGTAATAACCCACTGTCTAAATGCTGCTTTTTGCTGCTTAAGTATATCAGAGAGTAGTTCCTAGTTTTATTTTGGACCAAAAGGATCCAAAAAGAGAAGAAATAAAGCCGAACAAACCGAAAGCTGGAGGGCCTGAGAAGTTTCACTGCTATTTTTACTCCTGAAGTCGGCTTCCTATACGAATTTTCCGTTCCACCTTAAATGGTGCAGCAGTTTCAGTTGCACCATTTAAGGTGGAACGAAAAATTCGCGTAAATAGTCAACTTCAGCCTCATATTCATGCCCAATTTCCATGCAAAGTAAACCTTCCTGTCCGGTAAGAACAACACATGTCCTGCTGAACTCACTCGGTCTCGCTTCTTTTCTGAGTTTTCCCTCCTGCACCCTCAGAACTCTCCTCTCTCTTTCTTCTCCTGTTAACAACACTCCCATCTCTCTCCACACTGTCTCCCTCCATCATCATTAACCACTAATCAGGAGAAAAGACTGTTTATCACTGCTGCCTTCACACACACAGACATACAGACATACAGACATACAGACACACAGACACACACACAGCCCGCTGCCTTCCGCGTCGCCTCTGACTGGCTTAACGGCGGGATGACGTCACGACGCGTGGGAGCTCCTCCAGGAGTCTCCGCTAGAGGTCGCTGAAGAAGCGCTTAAAAATAAGAACCGCATTTTTCATGTGAATCATTTACGATACACTACATTGCCAAAAGTATTCACTCACCCATCCAAATCATTGAATCCAGGTGTTCCAATCACTTCCATGGCCACAGGTGTATAAAGCCGAGCCCCCAGGCCTGCAGACTGTCTTCTACACACATTAGTGAGAGAACGGGTCACTCTCAGGAGCTCAGTGAACTCCAGCTGTCAGTGGGATTATAACAAAGTGGAAGTGATTGGGAACGACAGCAACTCAGCCACGAAGTGGTCAGCCAGGTAAAATGACAGAGTGGGGTCAGCGGATGCTGAGGTGCATAGTGCGCAGAGGTCGCCAACTTACTGCAGAGTCAGTCGCTGCAGACCTCCAAACTTCATGTGGCCTTCAGATCAGCTCAAGAACAGCGTGGAGAGCTTCATGGAATGGGTTTCCATGGCCGAGCAGCTGCATCCAAGCCTTACATCACCAAGCGCAATGCAAAGCGTCGAAAGCAGTGGTGTAAAGCGCCGCCACTGGACTCTAGAGCAGTGTAGACGTGTTCTCTGAAGTGACCAATCACGCTTCTCTGTCTGGCAATCCGATGGATGAGTCTGGATTTGGCGGTTGCCAGGAGACGGTACTTGCCTGACTGCATTGTGCCGAGTGTAAAGTTTGGTGGAGGGGGGATTATGGTGTGGGGTCGTTTTTCAGGAGGTGGGCTCGGCCCCTTAGTTCCAGTGAAAGGAGCTCTTAATGCTTCAGCACCAAGAGATTTTGGACAATTTCATGCTACCAACTTTGTGGGAACAGTTTGGGGACGGCCGCTTCCTGTTCCAACATGACTGCGCACCAGTGCACAAAGCAGCTCCATAAAGACATGGATGAGCGAGTTTGGTGTGGAAGACCTGACCTCAACCCGATAGAACACCTTTGGGATGAATCCGAGCGGAGACTGCGAGCCAGACCTTCTTGTCCAACATCAGTGTATTATGGTGTATTATTGTATGCGTAAGATTTTTATCTTTGCTGCAAAAAAGCCCGTTTTCTGAGTCGAAGCCAGTCTAGAATCTGCCTCTCCATCCCGCTCCTATAGCCCTGTTCTGCTCAGTTTTACCATTTTACCCTTACAGAAATCTGATAAATGGCCCTATATGCAGGTATGTCATAGAGGGTCAGGCGTATTTTTCAAAATATATGTACATATAAGTGTGCACATCTATGTAAGCATAAAAAATTAGACAAACATGCATAACATATGGTTCACACGTATATGCCTGATTGGTGGTAGGTAGGCGGCCACAAAATTTTTGGGCTAATCATATACATCTGATACATGGTTGAATATAGCCCTGTACAGTCACCGTTCATACTATGTCATGTGTTTACTTGAAATGATTTAATATTTAAATGTAAAGTTAAGTAAAGGTGGGCAGCCGCCCCCTCATGAGCCAAGAGCCCCATGAAAACAAAATCAGATACACTCAGAGGTGAGTAGAATAGCCTAAATCAATACTCTTAGAACATCCAGCGTCTGTCAGCACAGGAACTGAAGACTGTTCAGCTCTATTTTTCCTTTTTGGGATTATTTTGGTCTGAAATAAAACACTAAAGCTCTGAAATCAGAGATGTGACCAATCACAAAACAGCACAGATACTGTCACCATCAAAACAGAAGAAAATGAAACACAAAAACGGAATTAGAAACTCAATATGAAGAGCTGAAATATAACTGAGTAAAAGTAGATTCCTTTACTCACTAGTATACTTGAGTAGAAGTAAAAGTATTATGATACACACCGATCAGGCATAACATTCTGACCACCTCCTTGTTTCTACGCTCATTGTCCATTTTATCAGCTCCACTTACTGTATAGGTGCACTTTGTAGTACTTTGTTAGCCCCCTTTTACCCTGTTCTTCAGTGGTCAGGACCCCCACAGAGCAGGTACTATTTGGGTGGTGGGTCATTCTCAGCACTGCAGTAACACTGATGTGGTGGTGGTGTGTTAGTGTGTGTTGTGCTGGTCTGAGTGGATCAGACACAGCAGTGCTGCTGGAGTTTTTAAACACTGTGTCCACTCACTGTCCACTCTATTAGACACTCCTACCTTGTCAGTCCACCTTGTAGATGTAAAGTCAGAGACGATAGCTCATCTGCTGCTGCACAGTTTGTGTTGGTCATTCTCTAGTCCTTCATCAGTGGTCACAGGCCGCTGCCCACAGGACGCTGTTGGCTGGATATTTTTGGTTGGTGGACTATTCTCAGTCCAGCAGTGACACTGAGGTGTTCAAAAACTCCAGCAGCACTGCTGTGTCTGATCCACTCAGACCAGCACAACACACACTAACACACCACCACCACGTCAGTGTTACTGCAGTGCTGAGAATGATCCACCACCCAAATAGTACCTGCTCTGTGAGGGTCCATGGGGGTCCTGAGTACAAATCCATCAGTATTTTACTGAAGTACATGGAGTTTTTTTTAAATAGCTGCTATTTGCAAATGTAGTGATTATCTTTAAGAATCCCAGCGCAGCCCCTCCCTGCGGTCATGGCTATGATGGACTGTTCCGTGCTGTTACGTGACGATGTAACTGTGTAAAGACGGAGCGGTATGGAAGCAATTAGGAGATAATGTAGATTATACAGAGCAGCTTCCTTCGTGTGATCTTCTCTGTGATTACATTCCAAATTCAGCTGGGAAACAGGGAGAGCAGAGCTCAGCACAGGATCAGCAGACTGTACACAGATAATAATCCAGTACAGTTACTGATCACTCGAAATGTACTGACTGCGTCTTGGATGAAGTAGAATCTCACTGCTCATCACTTTACTTCTACATTACTCTGCACCAGAATGATCTCACTGTGGTAGCAGATCGTTCTGCTTGTTTAAAGTGTTACTTTTTAAAACAGTTGAGATGATCTGATCATTCAGAGCTCATTTCTCTTAATTAAACACTGAAAACAAGTTGAAAATGTCTAGAAATAGATTAGCTAATCTTTTAATAATCTCACAACAGTCCCGGAATGAGAAGTATTAGACACATCCGTTACACTGAAGGTGATCAGCGGCTGTCGTTATCTGATGTTGTTCTTCTTCTTCTTCTTCTTAGTTTTCTGCCGGATTTTTTGTCTCATTCAAGATATCAACACTGTTCCAACTCCGGAATATTTGATCTGATCGGGAATGTTGTGCTTGTATACAGCTTTTTGATTGGGTTTTCGTACAATCATCATTTTTTCCATAGAAATGTATAGTGTGCAAAAATGTGTGCACCCAGTTTAAATCTCAATGATAGAACCTCATAAGTAACACCTTATTAACCACATAGCATATTATAGCAACCACCAGAAACCACCTAACAACTCCCTAGCAACCATCAGGGGTACCAAAGCAACCGCCTAGCAACACCCTAGCAACCAACTGGGATACTATAGCAACCGCATAGCAACATCCTAGCAATCATCTAGGATACCATAGCAACCGCCTAGCAACCACCTGGGATACTATGGTGACCACATATCAACACTCTAGCAATCATCTAGGATACCATAGTAACCGCCTACCAACTCCCTAGCAACCACCTGGGATATTACAGTGACTGCGTAGCAACATCCTAGCAATCATCTAGGATACCATAGTAACCGCCTTCCAACTCCCTAGCAACCACCTGGGATATTACAGTGACTGCGTAGCAACATCCTAGCAATCATCTAGGATACCATAGCAACCGCCTAGCAAAACCCTAGCAACAACCTTGAATACTATAGCGACCACATAGCAACACCCCAGCAATCATCTAGGATAACAGAGCTTCCACCTAGCAACTCCCTAGCAACCACCTGGGATACTACAGCAACCGCAAAGCAACATATTAGCGAGATTAAGCTGCACAATCACTCATTTTCTTCAGGAAATGTGCTTCTCTAGTTTCACTTGATATCATTTTTGGAAGGGTAAGGATGTTTCGCTCAGCGGCCCCGAATCACTTTGAACACTACATTAAACTCATACTTTAAGAAATGCTATAACATAACAACCCAGGTCCTTTCTGTCTATGTAAGCCCCATCAGTGCTGGTGACTGAGAGGCTTTATCAGGACATAATGTAGCTTGTTTGCTCACCGTGATTTGAGTACATACAGAAGTAACAGATAAGCCCACAGTAACGCTCGGAGACGATGCTATGCAGGCTGCATATCTCGCATCTCTGTTAACAGCATGTAAAATATAACGTTATTACACAAGGAAAGACTGAATACAATACATTTTCTCACAAATAAGAACTGTTTTCCTTGTTCAGTTTTAAAAATGAACCCTTTAAACTCTGTATGTGGGTCCACAAATCCATTATTCACTCTCTTAACTGCAAAACACACACATTAGTTTCATGGTAAATACTGAATAATTTATAGTAGTTACTAAATAATGAATTTTAAAGACTATTTTCTCTTTATCCCTTAATAATTAAACAGGCTTTGTTACTGATGTATGTACATGAGCTAAGTAGGCCGGGCAGAAACATTTCTTAAACGCTCTACACCTATGTGGTCACCCCTACTAATTATTGAGTTCAGGTGTTTCAGCCACACCCATTGCTAACAGGTGCATCAAATCAAGTACATAGCCATGCAGTCTCCATAGATAAATAGATAGAGGGTCACACTGGAAAGCTCAGTGACTTTAAACATGGCACTGTAATAGGATGCCCCCTCTGCTACAAGTCAGTTTGTGAAGTTTCTGCCCTGCTAGATCTGCCCCAGACAACTGTAAGTGCTGTTGTTGTGAAATTCTCACTACAGAGCTCCAAACTGCCTCTGGAAGCAACATCAGCACAAGAACTGAGCGTCAGACGCTTCATGAAATGCGTCTCCATGGCTGAGCAGCTGCACACAAGCCTAAGATCACTATGCGCAATGCC